CCATGATGACACGATATGGCGGCCGCAGCAGCAGAGTTTGGTACTGCTAATAATAATAGCAACAACAGTATAATGTACATCCATCAGCTTATTGTTGCCGTTGCCACCACTCAACAAAAGCTACAACAGATACAACTACTACGACTACTACTAGCAATATACCTCTTTTTTTGTCTTATCACAGAGCAGCACACAGAAGAGCACATACACGTCTGTATACATCTGTGTACAGAGACGCGGCGTGTCGTGCACACATGTACTATTAGTACACATCTCCTAAACGTTCATCTTCAACGGCGCACTGCCCAAAAAGATACGCCGCTTGACATGCTTATAATTATAAGGTTGGGAGGAAAGTCGTGGGGGTGGGGAGACGGTGGAGGTATAGTAGCGAGACGGTGGAGGACGTGGTGGAGAGACACAGATACGCCGATACGGAGAGGACGGAGAGGGTTTGGTGATATTATTTCTGGGAATGGACACAGAGCGACACACACAGAGTGACCGACAGCAGGGCAGCAGGAGGGGGACGGACTCTGACACAGAGAGATTGTTCGTGATGTAATTATTCATCGTCATCATCATCATCGTCATCGTCATCGTCATCATCCTCCTCCATCTGCAGGAGATGTTCCACTGATGCTATTATTATATCTATATGTCTAATACAGCAGCAGCTTTAGCAAAAGAGCGTCCTTGACGTAATAATTAATAAGGACACGCCTTTGCAGAAAGTATAAGGACACGCCTGACAAGATACGTGCTCTGCTGTGATACGTGCTGAAAAAAAATAGGAGTTAGTTCCAGAAGTGCTTATAAATTATATGTATGTACTTCTTTGTCGTCCAACAACTACTGGTGGGCGCAATCTATAATAATGATGATGATGCTAAATGATGATGATGCTAAATATCACGCAGAGAAGAACAGAGAATAGAGCACAACAACCACCAATACAACAACCCCGCGAATCGCGCTTTGTCGTATATTAGTAATAAAGTGCGCCGCCCCTACTTCTCACCGCTCGCCGACGACAAACAGACAATTGAAATGAGACCGTCACAGCGAGAGCTATCAGGACGTTTTTAAAATTTTATTTATGGAGCAGGCGCCAAGTAGAAAACAAGCCGCGAAGAAGCAGAAGACGACATGTGTCTAATGCGCGCGAACCACGGAACAAGACAAACACCAATCAATACACCGCAACAAAAGCACAAAGATACAGCTTTAGCGTCCTCGAAAGGACACGCCGGCAGTAAGGGCGATTTACAAGAAAGTTGGGAATATAGACTACGCTGCCCGAT